ACTCTGAAGATGACTTCCGCTCAGGTTGTCGAAACGTCAGTCACCAACAACAGTTCTTTTCAGAACTACAGTCACCCGGACGATCACACTATACGAACTACACACTATTCTGTGGGGAATGAATGGATCTTAGGGCAATAGCTTGTCAAGCACGCAATGTTACATCACAAAAGCTATAAAAAGGCGGGAAACGTTCGTTCATTTCCAGGGCTTTCTGTCTTGTTGGGAACAACTACCGCGCCATATAATAACAATTATTATATGTTTATCTTATTTGCTATGGTACTGTAGCATCAGTTTGTTTAAGCAGGAGTACACCAACATCTGTGTTATGATTCTAACACCTTCCTTGTACTATGGTACAAACTTGAGGCCTTTTTAAAATCTAGAACTGTAAACTCTACAAGCTAAAAAATAATTCAGCGATGCCTCCTTGACTATTCTGTTGATTGAAATATTAAACTTTAAGTAAAAATGATTAGGTGTGTTAGTAAGGCCATGGTACTTATTGTCTGGAGACACTCAACACTTCCTTCTGGGAACCCCTCTTGTAAACATATTAGGTCTGCGGTTATAGGTCTCGCGCACGCGTCAGGAGTTAGAAACACGTGGCGGGTTCGACGGTGTGCTTTTATCTCGATCTAGTTTGCTGAGTTCTGTTTGTATCGTTGTTTGGAATAAAAGTAAGTTAGCAGTAACCAAGGCCCACAGGATCTCTTTACATGGTGTCAGAGGTGGGATGGCGAAGTAAGTAAACATACTTGATGCCAATTTAACTCGCTACACTGGTGAAAGTGGAAGAGTGAACAACACGATCGATTGAACAACCCAAAATGGCTGCCAGCGCCTCGTTTATCGACAAAGGTCCCTCCATGGATTGGAGCACAGACGGCAACCTATACAGCCGCTTTATAATGCAGAAACAGAGATGTGAACTGCAATTCACTGGTCCGATGGTGAAAACAGAGGAAGAAATACAGTGCAAATACCTCCTGTACTGGTCTGGCAAACACGGAATGGAGTTATTCAACAGCTGGGACTTATCAGCAGATGACCAAAAGAACTAAAAAAATTACTGGTAGAGATTCGAAAACTGCGTAAAACCTCACTCAAACGAGCTGATCGCAGCGTGGGAGCTGCATAACCTCCGTCAAGGTACCTTATCAGTTGAAGAATTCATTGCTAAACTAAGAATCCTTGTTAAAGAAGCTAACTACCCAGCAGAGCATCACGATCGATTCCTAAGAGACGTTCTGGTGCTTGGCATGAACTCTGACCGTGTTAGAAAGGGTTGTTTCAAGAAAGGAAATACCCTGTCATTCAATGAAGCCAGAGAAATGGCAAAAGCAGAAAAAGCAGCTGATAAACAACTTCAGCTAATGAACACAGCCGTAGACGTGCACCCTGTCACTTCTGAGTACAGAAACCCAAATCAGAGAGACCAATCAGATGCAGCAAGTGGCACGAAGCGAACCCAAAATGGCAATCGATGAGACAAAACACCAACCTGCAGGAATTGTGGTTGGGGTCCTCATGCACGTGAACCGGACTTGAAATCCGGAGGTCGCGGGTTCAAGTCCCGCTCTGACCACTTAGCTGGAGTTGTTTCTCGGTAGATCCTAGTTCAACTCCTCGGTCATGCTTGTAAATAGCCAACTGGTCTGCCTCCCGCCAGTTGGGAGTTTTAACCATGTTATGTTCATTTGCATTATTTGTTTCATCATTTGATTTCATTGGCCCTGAAAAACCCCATTGGGGGAGTGGTCAATTAAGATAATATTATTTTTTTTTTATAGCGATGATCTGATCAGTCATAGAGGTGTACCCACTCTTCAAGTAACCCAGAACACAAAGCCCAGGTACGATCTGCATACAATTAGGTTATTTGACATGAGAGGCAAGCAACACCCATTCCCACTAACAAAGGTCTATTTGTTGAATAAATTGCCGCTTTTCACGTGACGTCATCATTTTCCAAAATAAGAAATTAACAATCCGTCTGAAGTTTTAGTTTCATCAGATGTAAGACCCTCTCATAACTTGACGTTTTGCAGCGTTTAAGCTCGACAGGGTTCCTCATTTTGAAATAGGGCACGTTTGAATTTCCAAGTTTATGCGTTGTGTGCCTTTAAAATGGCGGCCCGATAAGGCTCTCGAGTAGGTCAAAAAATGAGTTATTGCTGAAGTTTTTGCGAACTAAACAGTTGTTGCTCTAGAAGAAGTATTAATTTCAATGTGTCAGAGCTCCAGAGTGATAAGTTTTCGTTTTGATGGCAAAACAATCAATGACAGATGTTTCTGTTACTTCACGGCCGTCATGTTTGTGTCCCTCCGAGGGGCACAAACATGGCGACTTCATACAAAGCTCTATAAATTTGAGTGAAACACTTCTCCGAATAACGGAAGAATGAAAAACTGCACAGACCTAAATCTTGGCGAGGTTGTTTATATATCAATCATCTTTCATATCCCAACTTCTTGGCGTAATTTATTGCATGGTTATGATTTTTATTTTTGATGGCGGGACACTGCAAACCAGCCATATGAAGACGTCTTCTTAGGAATTGGTTTTTTCCCAGGTGCGCCATATCACATTGAAACCGACCCCGAAATACCTCCAGTACAACACGCCCCAAGGCAGGTTCCAGTACAATTACAGCAAGCCTACATAGAAGAACTAGATCAACTGAAGAAATGGGACATCCTTTCTGAGGTTCACAATGAGTATACACCGTGGGGTAACTCGACTGTCGTTATAATAAAACCCAATGGATCGATTCGCCTGTGCCTAGACCCTGAAACCTGAACAAAGCTGTTAAGCGCAATCCCTACTATATGAGAACGATAGATGATGTGATACCGAAGGTGAGTAGCTCAACCCACTCCAGTATCTTAGACGCACGTAGTGGGTTTTGGCAAGTTAACTTAGACGAGGAAAGCAGCAGACTATGCACTTTTAACACTCCCTGGGGAAAGTACAGATGGACAAGGCTTCCATTTGGTCTCACTTGTAGCGGAGATGTCTTTCAAGAGAAAATGGACATGGTCTTCGGTAAGCTGCGAGGACTAAGTGGTATTGCGGATGACACATTCGTCTATGGTATAGGTGAGGAAGAACATGACCAGCGCATACTTAACGTCCTCGACACAACGAGGGAGAACAATGTGAGATTCAACGAAGACAAATTTCAGTTCAAGGTAAACGAGGCATCCTTCTTCGGACTCACGTGAACTCCTGAAGGAATCAGACCAGACGGAAACAAAATCAAAGCAATCCGTAACATGCCACCTCCAAAGAATCCTGCAGAGTTGCAATCCTTCATTGGCACGATCAACTATCTGAACAGATTCTCACCCATCATAGCCCAGACTTCAGAACCTGTAAGACAGCTGATGAAAAAAGAGGCGCCATTTATGTGGCAGGCAGAGCACCAAAAACCATTTGAGAGTCTTAAACAAGTAATGACTGAGGTACCAGTCTTGGCGTACTACGATCCAGAGAAAGACAACCTGATCCAGTCCAATGCAAGCCTTCAAGGCATTGGATGTGTGCTGATGCAAGATGGTGGACCGGTGTGCTATGCAAGTCGGCCGCTAACCGTGACTGAGTCGCGTTACAGCAACATAGAGAGACAGGTACTTGCCGCTTGTTGGTCACTAGAGAAGTTCAACAACTGCGTCTTTGGCAAAAAGGTCATCGTTGAAACAGACCATAAGCCACTGGAAAGCATATGGAAGAAGTCCATAATGAGCATCTCATCACGGCTGCAGAGACTTTTGCTGAAAATGGCAAAATATGACATAGAAATCAGATACATTCAGGGCAAAACCAATGTGATAGCCGACGCCCTTTCAAGGGTCAGTTACATGGAGCCTCCCCTAAAAGAAGACGAAGTGCCTTTGCTTGAAGTCGACGCAATTAAAAGCACTCTACCAGCAAGTCCCGCCAAACTGAAAGAAATACGACAATGCACCAATCAAGACGTTGTACTTGCCCACCTTAAAGATGTTGTGCACCATGGTTGGCCAGAATATCCGAACGAATGCCCCCAAGACTTAACAGAGTTTTGGAATTACAGAGAGGATCTTAGCATTGAAAATGGCCTCATTCTCAAGAGACACCGCCTTGTGATCCCCAGTAGGCTCCGCCCACAGATATTGCAAATAATACACCAAGGACACATGGGAACGGAAAATTGCCTCCTGAAAGCAAAAGAAAGCTTATTCTGGCCAGGTTTATCAAGAGACACAAAGGAACCGATAGCCAACTGTGCCACTTGCATACAATTCTCCAAACAGCAGCTAAAAGAAACGTCCCCACAGTGTGCCCAGTTTTCCGTGGCAGAAGCTTGGATGCGATTTGTTTGACCACCAAGGTGCACAATACCTTCTAGTCGTAGATTACTACAGCAAATACCCTATCCTAATGAAGCTGAACTCGACGACATCTGCTGCTATAATCAATCATCTCAAGTCAATCTATGCCGAATATGGAACACCAGAATCCCTGGTTACAGACAATGGACCCCAATATAGCAGTCGAGAATTTGCTGCATTCTGCAATCATTGGGGTATTAATCACATTACCAGTTCCCCACTGTATCCAAAAAGGAACGGATTCATAGAACGAATGGTCCAAACAGTAAAGAACCTGTTGAAGAAATCAGACGCTGCCGGACAAGATCCATATCTCGCACTTCTATCATATCGAACCACGCCCATTGACAGAAACCTACCCTCACCAGCTAAGGTACTAAGCCAAAGAGATTATCGCACACAACTACCTTGCAGTGGACGACTACAGCGCTCTCAACCATGGAATGTAACCAAGAGCAACTACAGCATCGACAAGACGTCCAGAAACAGCAGTATGACGGGAAATCCCCACGTGAACTAAAAAAGCTAGAACCAGGTCAAGAGGTGTCTGTGTTCCAATCGTGAACCAAGACCTGGCTTCCAGTGGAAGTGAAGGAAGAAACTAGCCAGCCAAGGTTATACATAGTAAAGACGGCTGGTGGTTCGGAGCTAAGGCGCAACAGAGTGCAACTGAATCTGTCGGATGAAAGAGTACCAACCTCTGAAGAACAGTTAGAGAACAATCGAGACACTTCCTCTTATCAGCCCACCACACCTATGGCGACACCCCACAACGTTTTGCCACCACAGACACCCCACAAACCAGCTCAACCCACTGAGAAACGTGATGGTCCATCCATGACAACTAGGAGTGGCCGTGTCGTAAAGAAACCACTTAAATTAGACTTATAAATTCTGTTGCAGACTGTTGAACATTTCAGTTGAGCTATTATAAACTTTTGTTGTGTTATACCCAGCTAGCCATTTTTTTTTGTTTTGTAGTTAGTCCCGCGGTCACACCCATTAGACTTTTCAGGGTGGAGATGTAAACGTATTAGGTCTGCGGTTATAGGTCTCGCGCATGCGTCAGGAGTTAGAAACACGTGGCGGGTTCGACGGTGTGCTTTTATCTCGATCTAGTTTGCTGAGTTCTGTTTGTACCATTGTTTGGAATAAAAGTAAGTTAGCAGTAACCAAGGACCACAGGATCTCTTTACACCTCTGTTGGCTGTAATTTACCATTATGAAGAGGCTACTCAGTGTTCTGGATAAGTGAGGGGTCTCAGAAAAAAAAACATGACAAGGACAGGTAGATGGCCCGATAAATTAAACAAAAATTTACAATGATTTGGTGGGTGGGAATTGCCTCGTTGGAATTCTTATTGACACCCCGTCTTGAAAACTTATCTGAAACCGTGGCTACTGGTTTATCAACTTCCCGGTTTTGTGATACCCCCAATAAACGAAGTTTGTTCGTTCTTTTCCTTGCTTATTTTGCTGGTAGAATATTACCACTGGCACATCTAAATACCATCTTGATATGTTTAGTTAAAGATAGGCATCACTCTAGGCTTCTCATATAACCTTAACATGCTATAAAAAAAACCAGCATTATTTGCACAATCAGTAGTTTTGATTTGTAGTTATGTGAACAGTGATCCGATGTATCAAAAATGATTTTCAAAAATTCCTGAAGTTGAATGTAATGAATCAATGTTTAATACTACAGTCAGTAAAATAACCCATGCAACCCAGTTGAGTGCTAAGCTGGATAATCTATCAGAGAGCATGAGATGCCTAAACTACTCGAGGCGCCTCAAATTCATTTGCAAACCGCCACGAATGTTCCCATTAATGGTATATATCTGTAGGTTTGGATCAAACGGATGTGCCATTGCTCTTTCCACTTTCCAGCAAAGCTGCCATCCATTCCCGCCTGGCTCTGGCCAGGTTCTGCTGGTGAGTGCGCTCTTTTGTGAGCTTTTAAATCCCGCTGCCAATAAAACTTCCCAATAACTCTTCTGTGGCAATACCAGTGGCCCCACCTCAGGGTCCCAAGACAAAACCGACTGCGCCAATGCATCCAACCACACACACTCCTATCTGGGTACCTGGGTTCGCTAGTGACAACCATGCGTAGATGACCCCGAAGGCGAAGAGGATCGTGCATACAACTTTTTTTAAGGAAGCCTAGTAGGCTCTGCAGCAGTTGGTCCATGCTCCGTGGGTTCTGTAACATAAGGCGGAAAATGTGAAGGACAGGAGGCAGGGCAATTCCCAATTTACCATCATCAGGGTTCAGCAGGGTACTGGTTATGGTCAAGAAATTTCTCACATTCAAGATCGCCTCTTCGACGATTTCGGATGTGTCTGTTATGGTAGGGAGCTTCCTTGCGTCACGGTAGGCGCCTTCAAGGACACCGATGAGTGATGTGTACCCTTCATAGCGGCCTGTCTCTGAGGAGAATTCACCTATGGAGAACTCTATCTCTTCCTTCCCAAAGGCTTCGCAAATACGGCTTTTCAACTCCTCCCGATGATCGCAGCAAAGGTACAGATCCTGTTTTCCCTGGCCACGTTTCGTTGCTTTGAAGTTCTTGTTCTTGCATGAAGGATGACGTAAAGGGACGTAATCTGACTTGGAATAAGGATCAGACTGAAGAAGAACGACTTCTTTTCCAAGTTGTATGTCCTTTCGCAGCGTCACTGTCACTGTCACGTATCGTTTTCGTTTCCAAACAGCACTTCCGCATCTTGAACTCGCCTTTGTAAGCTTTTGGCATAGTTAACATCAATGCGGCTTCTCCTTTTTGTCTCTTTGCTCGCTCCATTACCAGTTTTCCAATTTGTCCCAGAACATCGTTCTTTCGATTGTTGAGTTTCTTAAGAGACTCCTCCATTGTTGGGATTTTTCGATCGATCGTTTGCTCAATTTTTTCATGGAATTGGGACTACCCGTTTACACTGAAAGCACTTGGGAGAAATTCTAGCTCTTTTCGCATGAAGGGTTAGATCAGACAACAAGTTCTCCCCTTCAACTTGTTCTTTGATTACATACCCAGGTTACTTAGCACAGTGACAGGGAAAGAAACTTAAGAGCATAAATCCGAAAATATCGAGAATTGGCCGACAGAAGCGAAATAACGACTTTTTTCTCATTCGGCCAAAAGAACCCTTTTGGCTAACTATTTTCGGAAATAACATCAAAAAGTTCGATTTCCTTTTCCTTTCTTCGAAATTTGCAAAACTTGAAAATTCGGCCACAGGGCCTTCAGCGGTGGCCATGAGACTTGAAATTTGGCACATGTTCAACATGCTCCTATAGGCGTACCAAACGTTGTCTTAACATGTCCTTTACACAGTTTGTGGGGCATCTCTTAAACTTTACTCGTTGCTAAATTTTGTTTAAAAATGTTGTTTTGTACAAAATAGTTAACCCTCAGAAGCTGAACCATTTACGGACCTAAAATGACAAGGCTAATATTAGCAAACTTTGAACTTGTCAAATGCTGTCTGTTATATTACAATCAAGTGAATAAATATAACCAAATAAAAGCAGGTTCTCTATTCTACTTGCTGGAAAAAATTGCAGGTGGCCCGTAAAAACTGTTCCGTTGGGAGAATTTTCCGTAAGGTCACTTTGACGAATATCTCACTTTTAGTTTTTTATTGCGCAATTGTTATTATTTCCGACTTTTTTATTTTATACATTCCCACTAAATCTTTAAGGTAAAGAATTGAAATAAATCCAAGATAAGAAGTTCAAACAAGTTTTTACAACTCAGCTTATCAATAGACCAATTCAATTTCTTTAATGGTTTTTCAATAGCACTGGTACTTTATCCTGAGTCACGCAAACTATTTCACACGGTAGCTAACGTGACCAGCTGGTTGAAAAAAAAAAAAAAAAGGCAAAAATATACATGGCTAGGTTGATCCTTTTTGTCGCTGATTTTATGCAGTATGACTAAAGGGTCTGTCTACTTTCCGTATAGAAAATAACACTGGTGGCCCGTGAAAGTAGTTACGCTGAGACAATTTTTCAGGAAGGCTCCTTTACAGCGCATCGTATCAGAGTTCAC